GGCAGCCTCTCACCCCTTCAGAAGTGTGGATGGACGCGAGGACCAGCACTATCCGGACACTTGCTGGGGTCCCAGGGCCACTGCAGGACTCAACCCCTTTCAGTGAGAGGTTCTTACCCTGCCATCCTTCCCCACCTCTCACCCCTTCCCTGCCAGAGAATGGCTGGACTTCCTCTTAATGAGAGCAGAGATTTATGTTGGCTGGGCCCAATTAGGGCCAAGCTCTCTCGGGCCTCCAAGTGCCCCGCCGGCCAGCAGCTGAGGCCTGTCTGGCAGGACATATTTGGACGATGAAGCCATGCTGCGTGCTAAACTCAGCGCAGGAAAGAGCAGTTCAACTTGGATGCCCACCAAAGGCTGCCAGGCTTGGCTCCTGTCCACGCATTGGGCAACAAGGCTGTCTGGCAGGGGATAAGGGCAGAGCTTCCCTGGCAGGAGGGGTGAGGCTGGCCTGGGAGAGCACCACTCTGGGGCAGGATGCCTTCCCTGGGGCTTGTCGGGGCCCAGCAAGTGGAGGCCGGGGGCGGGGGAGCCTGAGATGGAGCAGGGAATCTGGACTCAGAACCAACCCCTCTATCAACTCCTTGATGACCCTGGGCACACGGTTCATCTTCCACTCTGTGTCTTCACTTCTCCCCAGTACAGCGGGAAGGAATTCCTCGCCTGTCCCAGGAAGCACATGAGGGACATACAGAGATAGCAAAACTGGTGCCCAACTCTTCTAGCCTCGGTTTTCTCATCCATAAAATGGGACAAGTCTCGCACCTGCCTCACAGAGCTGGCTGGTGGGAGGATTCGAACAGAGCCCCAGGGAACGAGGGCCCCATTGACCATGACCTACCCCTCCTATCATCAGTGTTGCCCCTGCATGGCTGTTCCATCTCTGATTCTCACTTTTCTAACACGTGTTCTTCACCTGGGTTGGTGTAAAAATCAAGTTTGGAAACGGAGGTTCCGAAAGTAGCCTGTGTGAGCCGGTACAACTAAGAACAGTAGATTGGGGTTCTGAATTTAGGTCTGTGTGACCTAAAGTTCATGTTCCTGCTGTGGTGCTGGGATCCACTCACCACCCACTGGCTTTCAGACCCTGCATTCAGTGGTGGGTGGGTGTGTGGCTTAGAGCTGGGCCAGAGGGGTCAGGTACGTGTACCCACAGACACGCTCCCCCCCCCCCCCCGCCCGCAGATCTGCCCTGCCGTGTGGATGGCAGCCCAAGCTGGAGGAGAGAAGACTAAGACAGAAAGTGAGGACTGGCGTGAGCTCCCAGGAAGAGATGTGCAGACCCCGCAGAGATGGCCCTAGCCCTTGGCCCTGTCCTGGCTGCCCACGTGCATGCCCACCCCACCCCAAAGGGCCGCTCGTCCCCCTTCTAAGGCTGCCCTAAGTCCTCACTGCTGTACAGAGTGGAAGCTCAGACTGGGATAAAAAATACATGGATTTTATTCTCACTTCTGTCACTGATTTTCAACAAGACTTTGGGCAAGTGCTTTTAAATGCAGGGGCCTCAAGTGTCCCTTCTGGAAAATGGAAATGCCTTGGAAACTGATTGGTGTGAGTACCCATCTCATGAAAGGATTTTCTGCGCCTATTAATTTTGGGGCAGTGGAAGGGCTGACTCCTGTTGATTTCTGTTTCTTCAACATCTCTTTAAAAAACAAAGCGAACAATCTCCCTTTCAACTATTAATGTCTCTGGGACACCAAGCTGGGGATAAAGAATGCAAGTAAATGGGTGAGGAGCCCAGATACATCTGCAGCTCTTCAACTTCACTTGGAGGAGGCAGACCAAGGCCCCGGCCAAGCGCTGCAAGCACGAGCTCCTGCAATTCCCAGAGAAATCATCACGCTCCAGAGAGGGGAGCCAATGGAAGTCGGTGAGCTCAGAGGGGCTTGAGAGATTTGTGGATCTTTAGGAAGAATATTAATCCATTGGGGGGAACTTATTGGTGCTAGGTCCCAGTCTGGCCTAGATAAATAAAAAGCTGCCCATGAAATGCCTTAAGTTTCTGTCCCAAGCCTGCCACCATCCCCTGCTATCCTCTTTCTTTCTGAAGTGCGAGGACCCAGGTCTCTCGATTTATTCCAATTTCACCACACGCTCCCCCACCCCAGGACTGAGCATGCAGAAGATGCTCCATAGAAGCTCCATCCATGATCCTCGGGCCCTGTGGTCAGGGCCCCAAACAGAGTCTGTAAAGACGTGATCCTCCAGAGCCACTCCTATTCTGAGTCAGTGGCAGGTGTCCACCTTGGCTAAATTCACGTACTCTGCAGCCCACGGATTCCAGGAAGGATGGTCAGCTCAGATGTGATTCATCCCAGCCACAAAGCCTCTGAGTGTGACTTCAGTAAGTGAGGATGTAGTGGAATGCACAAACATTCAGAACAGGGACATCAAGAGACACCCTCATCCAATCAACTTATAAATGAATACATGTCTGTTTATTAATCAGCAGATGGTGTCTTTCCGATCTCCCAACTACTGGGCGTGGGGCGCCTAGAGGAGCTGAGACAGAAGGAGGAGGTATGTGAGAATGGAATGAACACTAGTTTACAAAAAGGTTAGTCACTGGATGGGGAAGAAAGTTCAAAGACAGAAAACAAATTTAACTCTTGATATCATCATAAAGAATTAAAACATGAAGATTTCCTAATTCCATAAAAACTTCCTACTTTCCTAGACCAAATTTCACATTAACTACAGCCTCATCAAATAAATCTTATTATGCCCATTTTACAAATGGGGAAACTGAGGCAATGTGCAATAAGGTGACTTGCTCCAATATCTTGTTAACAAAATCCTTAAAAGCCAATATGCTTTTGAGATCATAGAAGGTCATCAATTTGACCAGTTTTATTCCAGAGGGAAGATGATGTAAAAAGATTCTAAAAGATTGATTTTGAATCATTAATTAAACTTCCTCTGAAAGTGTTTTCATAGGAGATTAAAAACCTTTGGCTTATAAAACTAAACCTATGGCTGTTTTGCTCTGAAAATTTTCCTCTCTCTAATTTACTTTAAATGGCTCAGTCCCCAGGTTCTATTCTTAGTCCTCCTCTTTTGTTATTTTATACACTCTTCTCATTCACAGGCTGGCTTTAAGTGTATCCCTCAATTGTCCATTTCTACCATAGATTCTTCTCCTAAGATTCACACCTGAATGTTCTTACTGTGGGCATTTGACCTGACTATCCTGACATCTTAAAACTAGACATGCCAGTTTCCCTTCCCCAGGTAATACTGTTCTTTCTTTCACACTCAGTCATGGAAGGAAGGAAGGAAGGAAGGAAGGAAGGAAGGAAGGAAGGAAGGAAGGAAGGAAGGAAGGAAGGAAAGAAGGAAGGAAGGGATGAGAGAAGGAATAAAGGAAAATGGATGGTGCTAGAAGAGTCCTAAAAGTTTGTCTAGTTCAGCCCTTTGTTCTAAAGATGAACAAACTGGCTAGATAGAATCAGATCTGGGACTGGAAATCCTGGCTTCCTGACATCTGGTCAGGATCTTTGTAAGAGTAGAGATACAGAGCACTGAGAAATGACATAGGGAAGGCAAAGGGCCAGGGTGGAAAGCTGGGCCTTTGCTTTACCACACTCTTCACAATGTGTGGTCGTATTTGTCTATTTACTTGTGTTATGTCTGTCTTTGCAGGGTCAGCTCCATGAGACCAGAGACCGTGTTATGTCCACTACTACATCCTTAGCACCCAAAACAGGGCCTGCATATAGAAGGCACTCACTAAATATGTCCATCATTCATAGTAGCAGCAACATAGAAAGTATTAGGAATTACACCGAAAATACTACATAGAAAAGAATATATAAAAGACTACTATATAAAAGAATATAATACTAATATAAAACATAGAAGATGATCTGAATTAGTTGAGAGACATTCATGCTCACGGACAGGCTGACTTAATATTAAAAACATGTCCCGGGGTGCCCGGGGGGCTGAGTGGGTTAAGCAACCCGACTGTTGATACCAGCTCAGGTCATGATCTCAGGGTCATGGGATCAAGGCCCACGTTGGGCTCCATGCTCAGTGGGGAGTCTGTTTGGGAGTCTTTCCCTCTGCCCCTTCCCTCGCTCATGCTCACTCTCTCTCTCTCAAATAAATAAATAAAAATCTTTAAAAAAAATAAAAATAAAAAAAGATTTCTTATCAATGAAGGGCACCATGGAGAAAATAAATAAATAACAGGATAGAAGATATTCACAATGTTTAAAACTGACAAAAGATTAACATTTAGGGGCAGTTGGTTAAGTGGCTGCCTTCGACTCAGGTCATGATCTCATGGGTCTTGGGATTGAGCCCCAGGTCGGGCTCCCTGCTCAGTGGAGAGTCTGTTTCTCCCTCTGCCTCTCCCCCACCCTCAAATAAATAAATAAAATCTTTTAAAAAGATTAACCTTTAGAAGATACAAGAAATTCCTGCAAATGAACAAGAAAAAGAGAAAACTCAAAGCAAAGATATACTGCAATTTTTAGAAGTGGCAACCCCCCAAAGACAAAAAGTATAGGGAGAGCTGCTTACAAGCATTAGTAATCAGAGAGATTTAAGTTAAACTACAATAAGATATCAGTTTCTATAATTTACACCAATAAAAATTAGAAGGCTGGATAATGGCAAGATTTGCAGAGATACAGGATTCCCTAAATCCCTCAGGCTGGCAGGATTATGAAGTGGTAGAGCCATTCTGGAGAACATTCCTTATCATACAGTCAAATTAGGTATATGCACATTTTATAATTCAGCTATTGAGCCCTGAGTATGCATCCCCCCAAAACTTCATCCAGGCGTATAAGAGAATATGTATAAGGATGTTCATTGCAGCATTATTTGTAGAGTCAGGGAGTTGGAAGCAACTTGGAAGACCATCACTCAGAGAGTGAACAGGTAAAATGTATGGGATACCACCATTGCATATTATGTAGCAATCAGAAGAAACAGAAATTGGTTGTAGAGTGTATTCTTTGGTACAAAAAAGCAAAAACGGAATCAGATTAATAAAACAATACCATTTATATACAGTAAAAATACATGCATACAAAACAGCAATGTATATTTTAAGAACATATACAAATGAAAAATACACATTAAATTGCTAATAACAAGAACGAAGAGGGAATACCATTACAGATCCATATGATCATCTCAATAGATACCCCAAAAAAGGAAAAGCAAGGTTGTGGGAAACAAGAGCAATATACAAAATTCAATTGTATTTTGTATATGTGCAAAGTACAGTCATAAATTGAAAATTTTAAAATGTTATTTATAAGAGCATTAAAAACCATGAAATACTTAGGGAAAATTGTTATAAAAGATATGCAGGTTATATACGCTGAAAATCACAAAATATTGCTGGGGGAAGTTAAAGAAAATCTAAAAAAAAGATAAGCCATGCATATGAATCATAAGATAATATTATCAAAGAGGTAAATTCTCCTCTGATTGATCTGGAGATTCATTGCAATCTCACTCAGAAACCCAGCAGGATTTTGTGCAAAAATTGACAAACTGATTCTAAAATCTGTATGAAAATGCAAATGACTTAAGGTAGCCAAAGAAATTTGAAAATGAAGAACAAAGTTGGAAGAGGTACACTGCCTAGCTATCACAACTGATTTTAAAGCTATAATAATAAAGGCAGTGTGGTGTTGCTGTAAATATAGATATATATATCAATGGAACAGAATAGAGAGTCCAAAGATAGGCCCACACATAAATAACCAATGATTTCTTATAAAGGTGCAAAGGCAATTCAATACAGAAAGGATACTCTTTTTAACCCATGGTGCTGGGACAATAGATATTCATTTCCAAAAAAAAAAAAAGAAGAAGAAGCAGCAGCTCTTGATCCTTACCTCACACTTCATATAAAATTCAACTAAAAATGGATCACTGATCTAATTGTAAAACATAAAACTATAAAACTTCTGGGAGAAAACAAAGGAAAGAAAATCTTAGTGACCATGGGTTAGGCCAAGATTTTTTAAATAAGACACAAAAAGCACAAATTATAAAACAAACAAAAAAACCTGAGAAATTGGATTTCTTAAAAATTAAAAAAAAATTTGCTCTTCAGATGGCACTGTTCAGAAAATGAAAATACAAGCCATGTCCTGGGAGAAAAGATTTATTTGCAAAACTCTGTTTGACAAAAGATTTGTGAACAGAACATTGAAGAAGTTATCACAATTCAGTAAAAAGTCAAACAACCCAGTAGTTAGCAAAAAATTTGAACAAAGGATTCACTAAATAAGAATGTCAAATAAGTACATGAAAAATGCTTACCATCATTAGTCATTGGAGAAATGCACATTAAAACCACAATGAGATGCCACTTCACACCCACAAGGATGACTGTAATCACAAAAATGGGCCAGGTTAAGTGTTGGTGAGGAGATAGAAGAGATGGAGCTCTCCTAACTCTCACATCTTGTTAAATGCCTGACACAGTGGAAGTGCCCCCAATACATTATCAATTAATCCTAACAGCCGTTAAGAATATTTACGATGCCCAAAGTTCAATGGAAAAACACAGACACGGACTCTACCCTCATAAGGCTTCTGTCTAGCCATATTCTCTCCCTCTAGATGTGACAATCCCTTGAGTTCACTGTCTTTTTTTAAATTTAATTTTATTATGTTATGTTAGTCACCATACATTACATCATTAGTTCTTGATGTAGTCTTCCATGATTCATTGTTTGCGTATAACATCCAGTGCTCCATGCAGTACGTGCCCTCCTTAATACCCATCACCGGGCTAACCCACCCCCCACCCCCCTCCCCTCTAAAACCCTCAGTTTGTTTCTCGGAGTCCATAATCTCTCATGGTTCTCCTGAATTCACTATCCTAAGAACTCCTGTTTTCCTAGTCCTGAGCTAATGTTTCAGGTTGTGGTTGGAAACAGTGATTACTCCAGCTGCGGCATGTCTAGAGGTCTGGAGGAAAAAGGCTCTAGAACTGTGAAGAAACGGTTGGCATTGATTCGGCTAGACCTCTAGCATGAGCTGCTGATTTGACAGGGGAAGAAAGAAGTGGGACTGCTAAACACTCCAGACAGATTAAGGGAAAAGCTCTGAGGCAGAAAATTCAACTAAGCAGGGGCCCTTCTGCCACTTGGAAGGCTGGCTGGAGTCAAAGGGCCACTGCTTCTCGCCAGAAGCAACTGTGGAATAGTGAAAGAGCAGGTCTATAGTCAGAACAGCTTAGCAGCCGGAAGATCCTGGGCAAATTATTTTTTCTCTCTTAGCCTCCAATCCCTGGGCACGTAGATGACAGGTGAACGACATAGTAAATCAGCGAATGAGAAAACTGTAGAATGTTGGAAACAACATGGGTTCTAGACACAAGGAATCTTTATCTTTTTATTTGAATTCAATTAACCAAGGTATAGTACATCCTTAGTTTTTGATATAATGTTCAATGATTCATTAGTTGAGTATAACACCCAGTGCTCATCATATCACGTGCCCTCCTTAATGCCCATCACCACAAAAGGAATCTTTAAAATGGTGATCAGGAGAATAGAAATAGGCTAAGCCTTTTGTATGAGGAAGGGAAGAAAGAACAATGAGACAGGTCACCAGAGTGACCTGGTCTCTGTGAATCTATGAATAGCTGTAATGAAGACAGTGGAGAAGAGCTGCTCCATGTGATCTTGAGGGTGGGAACCAGCACCTTGTGGGTATAAGGTATGCTTGTGGTGCACACCTCAGGCAGGCAGACTTGATTTACGGAAGTTTCTAAAGGTTAAGAGTTGCTTAAAAGTGGAGTTGGTTACTTCAGAAGGAAGTGAACTTCTTGTCACTAAATGTCATAATCAGTGTCCAGGTAGGATTAATGAAAAGACACATCACACATAACTGAGGAGAATCCAACCCAAATTCTGAATTGAGAAAAATGGAGTTTTGAATTTGGATATGATGAGTTTGAATGGAAAGCAGGGCATGCAAGTAGAGGAGGTACTGGGGGTACATTTGGAACGTCATCATGAAAATGTCGATAGCTAAAGATGGTCAACAGACTCCCCATTACTGGTTTTGGTAAGTAAAGGCCAAGTGATTCTAAATATTTATAGAAGAGTGCTGGTGGAGTCAGAATGGTTAAAATTAACAAGTCAGGAAACGACAGATGTTGGCAGGGATGCGGAGAAAGGGGAACCCTCCTACACTGTTGGTGGGAATGCAAGCTGGTGCAGCCACTCTGAAAAATAGTATGGAGGTTCCTCAAAAAGTTGAAAATAGAGCTACCATACGACCCAGCAATTGCACTACTAGGTATTTACCCCAAAGATACAAATGTAGTGATCCAAAGGGGTACATGCACCCCGATGTTTATAGCAGCAATGTCCACAATAGCCAAACTATAGAAAGAGCCAAGATGTCCATCGACAGATGAATGGATAAAGAAGATGTGGTATATATATACAATGGAATATTATGCAGCCATCAAAAGGAATGAAATCTTCCCATTTGCAATGATGTGAATGGAACTGGAGGATATTATGCTGAGTGAAATAAGTCAGTCAGAGAAAGACATGTATCATATGACCTCACTGATATGAGGAATTCTTAATCTCAGGAAACAAACTGAGGATTGCTGGAGTGGTGGGGGGTGGGAGGGATGGGGTGGCTGGGTGATAGACATTGGGGAGGGTATGTGCTATGGTGAGCGCTGTGAATTGTGTAAGACTGTTGAATCACAGACCTGTACCTCTGAAACAAATAATACATTATATGTTAAAAGAAAAAAAAAAAAGAAGATAGCAGGAAGGGAAAAATGAAGGCGGGGGAATAGGAGGGGGAGACGAAACATGAGAGACTGTGGATTCTGAGAAACAAACAGGTTTCTAGAGGGGAAAGGGGTGGGGGGATGCGTGAGCCTGGTGATGGATATTAAAGAGGGCACGTACTGCATGGAGCACTGGGTGTTATACGCAAACAATGAATCATGGAACACTTCATCTAAAACTAATGATGTAATGTATGGTGATTAACATAACATTAAAAAAAAAAGTGTGCTGTTGGGTGCCCTCTGAGCCCCTGACAGCTTGTATAGTGCCTAGTGGAATCAAACACAGATGCAGCCCCTTGCCACTGGCTGGATATCACTGCCCCCCCCACCCCCAACCACCCCCTCACCCCCCATCCCCCACCCCACCTCCTCAGCCGAGCACCCTTGTGCACAGTGTGACCTGGCCAACTACTCAGTGCAGGGGCTCTGGAGACCACCCTGCCACAGACACTCAAGGCTTCTTCATAAGGTGTCCATGTTGCAGATGACTCGTCTCTTTTATAACTATTTATTTATTTATTTTTTGAGATAGAGAGAGAGCATGAACAGAGGGTGGGGGAGGAGAAGAGGGAGAGGGAGAGAGAGAATCTTAAGCAGGCTCCATGCCCAGTGCGGAGCCTGACACAGGGCTCCATCTCATGACCCTGAGATCATGACCTGAGCTGACATCGAGAGTTAGACGCTCAACCGACTGAGCCACCCAGGGGTCCCTTATAACTTTTTAGAAGAGCATGACAGTGTTTATCCTAGGCAAGGAGGTACTTTAGAGTCCTCTTCTTATTAGTATTATTAATAATAATCATAAAAGTAATATTCCCAGCCTTGACAGTACACCAGGTGCTTTCACATCCACCAGCTTAATCCCCACAACAAATCCAGGAGCTCCATATTGCTGTTGTTTTCACTTCACAGATGAGGACGTGGAGATCTGGAGGGAGTAAGCTAGGAAGTTGTGAAGCTTTTTCTCATACAGCTTGTGTTTGGCAATTACAAACTCTTAATCACTATAGAAATGCATACCTAACTCATACAAACCACGTTGGTCCTTCAAGAGCCCAAATAAAAGGAGAAAGCTGAAAAGCATGCAGCACTCCTAGATTTAGTTGAACCACCAATAACCCCCCTTAACTATTTATACTTCATTTAGCTCTACTTGAGTCCTTCTGGACAACCTCTGTACTTTCTCTTTCCTGCCTCAGCCTGGCCCTCTCATTCTGATGAATCCCAAATTTTGGCCCCATTTGATAGCCTCCTGTTCTTAACTCCCTCCTATGAAGACACGCTGCGCAAATGGTTCTACTCTGAATAACCACCTCCTCAGAAAGGTCCTGGGAGCTCCCCTCTTTGAGACTGTCTTAAAGGCAGCCCTCATCTGTTGGTGGATGCTGGTACTGCCGAACCTCTGCCTCAAAAGTGCTTGTCAGCTGTACAGATGGGTTATGTTGAGTCATCCATGGTCTCTCCCAGGGGCTCTCTTATGAACAGAGAGAGATGGTTGATGGCATTAGATATCCAGTCTACGGGGCCGAGCTCAGTCTGGATCAGTGGTCAGGGCCAGGGGCTGACCAGTGGCCCAGGTCAGGGTGCTGATGTTCCTCTGAGAAAGTACGAGTACTTACTTGACAAAGGATTTATCCACCATGAATGTCATTCACATGCTCGCTGCCTTCCCTCATGTAAACAACAGCTGAAATGTCCTACCAAGGATTAGCCCATCCTTTGTCTTTGGATCTCAAGTGTCTTGCACTCTCTCGTGCTTCTCAAGGCTCTCTCTGGTGGAGCCCTCTCTCCCTAGGATCCTAAGTTCTTTCCTTCTGCCAGATCCTTCATATCAGCATACAAGTGTGCTATATGACCCATGTTCTAAAAAGTCTCTGCATTGCCCATATGTTCTTATGCCAGTCCACTACTTTACCCTTTCCCACAACCCAAGAAGGGGTTGCTTGGCTATTTGTGCTTCCTCTCCTCCCTCTCGTTCTCAACCTATTGAATTTCTGTCTCCAGCAGTTGACTGAAACGGCTCCTGTCAACCTCCCTGTGGTCAAATCTAATGGTCACTTCCCTGGTTTCTTTCACTGGATATCTTGCCTTCTCTCTCCTGGGTTTTCTCCTACTTCTGTTGCTTGGGGTGGAGGCTCCTCTCTCAAACTAGAAATGATAAGGTCCTCTGGGCTTAGACACAGGCTTTCTTCAATTCTCAATCTCTTTCAGGTAGGCCCTTAGCTTTAAATAGCATCTCCATGCAATGGAGCCCAAAGGGACCCTTCCAGCCTGGACTGTTCTGCTGAGCCCCACGCTCACGCGGAAGCCATTCCCCTAGCACCTCCACGTGGACCCTAGTAGGCAGCTCGTACTTAACATGACCTAAAACCGGATTCTTGTCACCGCCCCTACCCCCCACCCCCACTCCCTCAGCCTTCCCCTCTCAGTAAATGCAGCCAGTTCCTCAGGACAAAAACCTCAGTGTTCTCCTCGATTCCTCTGGCGCCCTCACCGCCACGGCACATCTGCCGCATCTGGCTCTAACTCTGTATGATCCAAATCTGCTCACTTTCCTCAT